ATGACAGAGTACTAAAACTCAAATAAGAAATAAAGGTTATCAAACTGTCCAAGAGCTAGAGTAATTAAAGTAATGTGGTAGTGGCACAGAAAACAGCAAATTAATCAATGGAACTAAACAGTCCAGAATTGTTATCCACACACATATGTGAATTCAGTAGCTACTAAAGTGGCACTTCAAATCAGTGAATAGAGAAAGGACTAGTCGACCCTAACTCATAGTAGAGCAAAGAGAAATTCCAGAGAATTAACACTTTTTTTTTAATTATGAAAAAGTAATAAAAGAAAACTGTAGAAAATATCTTTGTAGTTCTTGAGGTTAGGTGGCCTTCCTAAACAAGAATCAAAATGAGGTGAAGTACAAGAGGATTTTCAGGGCAGTGAAACTACTCTGTATGATAGTAATAATGGTGGATAAATGTCATTTTACATTTGTCCAAATCCACAGAATGGACACCACCAAGAGTGAACCTTACTACTTAATGTAAATTGTGGACTCTGGGTAACAATGGTGTGTCAACGTAGGTTCAGCAATTGTAACAAATGTACCATTCTGGTGTGAGATGTTGATGATCGGGGGGCTGTGCATGTGTTGGGGCGGGGAGTATATGGGAAATCGTACCTTCTGCTTAATTTTGCTATGAATTTAAAACTGCTCTAAAAAAAATAAAGTCAAATCTAATAAACTTTCAAATGACATAAATAAGAATGTCACTTTTTCCATTGCATTTAATAATTCCACGATGTTAGAATTATGAAAGTAGAATTAAAATCTTGATCAGTAGTCAGATGTTAACTAGAATTATTGTGGTCATTTCGCAATATATATATATAGATATTGAATCATGCTGTACACCTAAAACTAATATAATGCCATATGTCAATTACACATCAAATTTTTAATCCTATCAGTGGCAAATCTAATACCTTTGTTTCTTCAAGTTCTTGTTGGCAATATCACCACAATATTTTTCTCTTTTTCTAGTTGCTCTGCTAATTGGTCAATTTTAATCAATTATTTACAAAGATGCTTACTGTGGCTAAATTGTCTGTTTGACTGCTTACAACCTCCTTGCTATCCAAGAGTTTCCTGACATTTTCTTCCACGCCATGATTTGTCTGTTTGAAATCTTCAATCTGTTATAATCAGAAAGAAAATAATCATATCAAAATATTTCCTTTGCTCTCTTCTGAGAACAACTAGGTGACTGGAATCAGAAAGTAGGTTTGCTTCCCTGACAAGGAGACTTAACTGTTTATCTTTTTTCACTTTCTGAATTTTGTGCCATGTGAATATTTTCCCTATCTGAAAAAATTTACTAAATGAACGTCTACAGGCTTAAAGACAATGTACAGAAAAAGGACTTAATTACTATTAATTTTTGACCAAGTTATTAGAAAAAAATGTCAAATATTTATATCTGCAGAAAAGAAACCAGTCTTAAAATTATTTAATTTTAGTCATTAGTATCATCAATTAGGACTTCTTTATAATTACATTTCTATTTATCATTATCAAAATATGCTAAACTATTTAGAAAAGCCCTTTGAACACATCGATAACTCACTGCACTAAGTTAAATGCCAAATCAATCAAGTATTTGCTGCCTAATGTGGAGGACCACAGCCTTCCTTCCCAGCCCCTATCAAACCATGGAGGGAGGAAGAAAAGGGCCTTTCTATCATGAAGACCTTCAAATGCCTTTAAAGGAAATATACATAGATTCCATTGAACAATGATTATTATGTCAGGAACTATGCTAATTCCAAAGATACAAAGGTAGGTTAGGTACCTGTCCTCAGAGAATATATTGTTTACTTGAGAAAATACAAATACAGTATGTTCAGTACAATAAAGAAATATCTGTGAGATAAAGTAGTGGCACAAATATGCATTTCCATTCTATTTGTCTCTCATCGTGTAGTTAACAAACATTTATTGAGCCCCTACTATATCAAGGCACTGTTTTAGTACCCTCTGGAAGATGTAAAAAGACAAAAGAAAAAAGTCTCAGTCTTTAAGAAGCATCTAACATTGTTAAATCCCTCATCTAATTTTATTCTTAGTTCTAACATTATTCTTGCCCTTTTCAAATAACTATAGAGATAGTTTGTTCTAATTCATCAAAATCAACAGTTTCTTTAAAAAAAAAAACCCTTTATAATTTGTTACTATATAAAAAATATCCTAAAGGTTATGAATTATATTTAACTATACTATAATGACATTTATACTCAATACATACCCAGAAGCACCATAAAAGCCATTATTCTAATTCAATTTTCCCTTTGGCATTTTGTAAGCCACGCTAACTTGTTACATTTACAGGTAAAGAGTTTGAAGTATCAAATCCAGGAAATAAGAAAAAATTTGAAGAATTTTAAAAAAGGGAAACTGCAAATGCACTTATTTCCTTAGCTGAGTCCTTCGTCACGCTGTCCTGAATGTTTAGCAATACCTCCCACTCTCTTCTCTTTGGGCCTCCCCCATATACAGCTAAAAATTCTTTGAAAACAAAAATTTGCGGTAACTCCTGTAACCTGTGGTGTTTCATCACACTGAGAATAAGATGAAAGAATGCTATTTGTGATCCCAGCCCTACTGATCTGTCTGGCCTAACTATCCACCACCCCCAATACAGACCTCAACTTCAGACACACTGCAGAAAACAATCTCACTAAACTCATTTTAAAACCTGTACTGAGCCCTGGCCGGTTTGGCTCAGCAGTTAGAGCATCGGCCTGCAGTTCAGAGAGTCTCGGGTTCGGTTCTGGCTGAGGGCACGTGCCTCAGTTGCAGTTTGTCCCCGGCCCTGGTTGGGTCGTGCGGGTGGCAACCACTCGATGTGTCCCTTTCATGTCGATGTTTCTCTCTCTCTCTCTCCCCCTCCCACTCTATCTGAACAAAAAAGTGGAAAAATGTCCTCAGGTGAGGATTAAGAAAAAACAAAAAACCTGTACTGAAAATGTTACATACTGTCACTGAACCCCTTTTTTATAAGAATCCTCAGGGAAATCTTTTAGTTCTCTTGGATATCCGGTTTGTTCCTACCCTATGGACTGTGACTTATTTACGTAAAATTTCCTTCCTGCCTTTGCCCCAAAGAATTTTTTTTTTTTTTTTTTTTAATCCTCACCCGAGGACATTTTTTCCATTTTTTGTTCAGATAGAGCGGGAGGGAGAGAGAGGAAGAGAGAGAGAGAGAAACATCGATGTGAAGGGACACATCGAGTGGCTGCCACCCGCACGACCAACCAGGGCCGGGGACAAACTGCAACCGAGGTACGTGCCCTTAGCGGGAACCGAACCCGGGTCTCTCTGTACCACAGGCCAACGCTCCAACCGCTGAGCCAAACCGGCCAGGGCTGCCCCAAAGAATTTTAAAGCCAATCTGCAGCCCACCTCTAGCAACTGCTGCAGAAGTCTGTGCGATGACTTTCTGTCTGCTGCTATCCCATCTCACCAAGTTTCTTTATTTTCTCCTATTCTTACTATCTAAGCCATTTTCATTACTAGTGTTTTTTAAACTACAGGCTGTGGGGTAAACAAATGGATAAACTTCAATGTATCTATTCTATACATCTTTTTGTCTTTGTTCATGACTTCTACCATGCCACATTTCTGAGCAACTAAAGCACACTGAAAATACCTGCTGGCCTTCCACGGCACCCGGAGAGATGAAAAGCGTCTCCAGGCTGTGCTTCCAGAAAGCCTCTCTGTTTTATCTTAGTATTTTCCAAGACGTATTACAATCATTTTATTACTTCGCTGTTGCTTCTGCTCAATTATAAGCAGTTTTAAAGGGATCATGTCTATCATTTCTGGTTCAACATAACTCTCATTTTTGTATCATTCTATAACTTGCATATAACAAATTATCGTTAAATGAATAAATAAAACAAGTAAAGTATAACTAAGTGCATGGATACTTCCCTCACCTCTGACATCAAGCTCTATTTGCACACATTTCCAAGACAGAAATACTTTAGACGAGGCAGTTTAGAGTGGTAGCAAGGATGGGGGCTTGGGACTGGACAATCAGGTTTAAATCCCCCTGCTGCGGTCCTTGACCAGAAACTGAGCCTCAGGCAATTTACCATATTTTCTTGATCTAAGAGGTGCATCTTGACTTCAGAAAAAATAAATGGAAGACTTTTGAGTCTCACCTGTTAAATGGAGAGAATATCTACAATTTTCAGGGTTGTTATTAAAGTTCAAGGAAAGTTTCTGGCAGATCTTAGGTACCCAAAAAGTAGCTTTCCTAATAATAATAATAATAAACCTTTTATTTTGAAATAACTTAAAAGTCACAGGAAGTTGCAGACATAGTAGAGAGATCTCATGTGCCCTTAACCCAGTTTTCCCCAATAGTTGCATCTTAATTATAGTACCATATCAAACCCAGAGGTTTAACATTGGTATAATACGTGCGTATTGTTCTATGTGATTTTATCATGTGTGTATTATTGTAACTACCACCTCAATAAGATACAGAACTATTCCATCACCACAAAGATTACCCTACTGTTACCCCTTTATAGTCACAGCCTCTCCCTTCCCATCTTTAACTCTTTTGTTGTTGTTGTCGTCGTTGTTTTGGCAGGAAACAGGCTTGATTGGTGGGTGTGAGTAAGGAGTGGGCAGCGCCGAGGTTCTCATGAGTGAAGGGCCCGCTACCTGTCCAGGAGGCCATGATTAGGGATGTATTTGATCCCACAGCCATCTGGAATAAGCTGCTTTTCAGCCACCATGCCTTCAAATTCATCCACATTAAACTTAGTAAAGCCCCACTTTGTGGAGATGTAGATCTTCTAGTGGCCAGAGAACTTTAAGGTGGCCCAGGGTAGGACCTCATTCACGTGCTCCCTGTTTTGCAGCTTGGTGATGATGGACATGATGACTTGGCCAATAGGAACCCTGTCATGGTGTCCTGGGGCTCTCCAAAGCGTCCCTACAGATTGGGAACAGCATGAGGTCAGACATGAGTGTCCACTGGAAAGAGCTGCCTCCAAGGTCCCTTCGGGCAACCCATGCAAACAACAGGCTGCGTACAGTATTGAGGATGCTGCAATTTGCAGGCATTGCTCACTGGGCTCTGCTTAATTGTTCGTGGGGCACCCTTAACTCTTAACAACCACTAATCTCTATAATGTTGTCATTTTGAGAATGTTATATTCATAAAATTATGTGATCTTTTAATATTGGCTTTTCCCTTCAGCTCAATGCTCTTGAGATCTATCCAAGTTAACAACTTGGATCAATATTTTATTCCTTTTGATTGCTGAATAATATTCCATAGTATGGATTATCACAGTATTTTTAATTATTTACTGACAAAGAGAAATTTTAGTTGTTTCTAGTTTTTGGCTGTAACAAATAAAGCTACTGTGAACAAGTGTATACAGGGTCTTGAGGGGACATAAATGTTCATGCTGGGTTATATGGTAAATGTATGTTTACTTTTTTGTTTCTTTATTGCTTTTTAGGGGTGGGGGCAGGGGTGGAGAGGGAGAAAGAGATAGAAACATCGATGAGAGAGAACATCTATTGCTCACCTCCTGCATGCCCCCCGACTGGGGATTTGGCCCACAACCTGAGCATGTGCCCTGACTTGGAATTGAACCGGCAATCTCTTGAAGCATGGGTTGATGCTCAACCACTGACCCACACCAACCAGGCTGTATGTTTACTTTTATAAGAATTAAACTTTTTCCAGAGTGGCTGTACAACTTCCCATTCCCACCTGGAATGTATGAATGATTCAGTTTCTCCTCATCTTTGCAAGCATTTGGTATTGTCACTACTTTTAATTTTAGCTATTCTTATAGGTGTGCATTATTTCATCATGGTCTTAATTTACATTTCCCTGATGTTTAGAATGAATAAACATCTTTTTATGTGTTTGTCAACCATATGCCCTTCTGTGAAATACTTCTTCATGTCTTTTGTTAATATTCTAATTAGATTATTTGCTTTTCACTGTTGAGTTTTAATGAGTTCTTCATGTATTCCAGATATGATTCCTTCGGCAGAAATATGGTTTGTAGCTTGTCTTTTCATTTTATTAATAGGTCTTTCATGGTGCAAAGGACTTAAATTTTCTAAAATTGAAATTATTTTTTTTTCTTTTATGAATCATCCTTTAGGTGTCATTTCTAAGAACCCTTCACCATGCCCAAGGTCTTGAATATTTTCTCCTATGTTACCTTCTACCCAGTTTAATATTTTCATTGAACTCAAATCCATTTTGAGTTCATCTTTGTATAAAGTGTGAGGTTTAGAACTAGGCTTATTTTCTTCCCCTAAAAGATATCCAATTGCTCCAGCAGCCTTTGTTGAAGACTGCCTTTCCTCATCCAAGTGCATTTGCACCCCTGTCAAAACTCATTTGGCTATACTTGCGTCGGCTATTTCTGGATTTTCTATTCTGTATTATTGATGTATGTGTCTGTCCCTCTAGCAATACCATATTCTTCAACTGTAGCTACACGGTAAGCTTGGGAATCCAGAAGAAGGACTCTTTCCACTTTCTTCTTTTTCAAATTGTTTTTGCTGGGGTGTTGATGGGCATTGCATTAAACCTGTATATTGACAAAACTGACATCTTTACTACGTTGAGGCTTCCAATCCATGAACATACTTCTTTCCATGTGTGTCAGGGGTGGGAAACGTCCGGCCCGCAAGCTGTACAAGGCCCACGACATCAGTAACAGCTCACATCACAGGCCTCGTCAAGTTAGCCAGACCAGAATAGCAGGCTAATTTTTAAGTTGATAATTTTGCATGGCCCATGAATGATGTTATAAATATCCAAATGGCCCTTGACAGAAAAAAGGTTCCCCACCCCTGGTAGATCTTGGATTTCATTAGCAGTTTGAATGTTCAGAATACAAACTCCTACTTATTCTGTTAGATTTCCATCTAATGCTTTCACTTCCTATTTGAGCAGTTGTAAATAGTACTGCATTTTTTATTTTGATTGCCACATTAATTGCTAATATATAAAAATAAAATTAATATGTTTACCTTGTATTCTGACCTTGCCGAAGTCATTTATTAGTTCTGGTTTTTGTACTGTAGATTTTATGAAATTTTCTAAGTAAAAGATCATGTCATTTTCAAACAGGGACAGTTTTATTCCTTCACTTCGGGTCTTTGTGCCTTTCAACCTAGTTATATCATTATGCTGAAAGGGAATTCCTTGTAGCCAGCAAAATGCTAGGTCATGTCTTGCTTAATCCACTCTGCCACTTGCCTTCTTTTAACTGAGTATATTTGGACTACATGTATTTAATACAATTACATTTATGTTATGATTCAAGTTGTGACTTTTTTATACACTGTTTTCTGGAGGTTTCTTTTGAGTTACTTTAACATTTTTCTAGAATTCAATTTTGATTTTTCTATAGTATTTTTTAATATATCTCTACATGGCTTTTTTATGGTTGCTCTAGATGCATTATATATTCATAACTTATCACAGCCTACATTTTACCAGTTCAAGTTAAGTGTACTTTACCTCCCGTTATGTCCCTTTACTCTCCTCTATTAATAAAATAACCCTTAAATATTTCCTCTACAAGAACTACATTTGACAACCCAATTGAGAAAACTAGAAAAAAAAAAAAATCTATTACATTTACCCATATTTTTGCTCTAAATGTTCTTCCTTTCCTTCTATTCTTCCAAGATTCCTTCTTTTATTCCTTTGCTATATTCTTTTTTTTTTAATCCTCACCTGAGGGTATGTTTTTTTATTGATTTTTTTTTTTTTTTTTTTTTTTTTGAGAAAGGAAGGCGGGGGGGAGAAAGAGCAAAAGAGAGAGAGAAACATTGATGTGAGAGAGAAACATCAATTAGCTGCCTCCCACACATGCCCTATCCTGGGTATGTGTCCTGATCTCACAACGAATTGAACCCACAATGTTTTAGTGTATGGGGCGATGCTCCAACCAACTTAGCCATCCAGCCAGGGCTATTTTCTTAAGGTAGCTTTGCTGGCAATCAAATCTTTCAGTTTTCTTCATCTGAGAATGTCTTGATTTTCCCTTCATTTCTAAAGGATACTCTCATGGATACAGAATATTGGGTTGAAAGTTCTTTTACTTCTAGCACTTGAAAAATGTGCTACTTCCTTCTGATCCCCATCTTTTCAGATCTGCAGTCATTTGAACTGGTGTTTCCCCCTCAAGGTAATGGTTTCTCAGAATTTTTTTTTTTTTTTTTTCACAAGTTTAAATATAAAGTGCCCTGGCATGGATTTCTTTGGGAGACTCACAGTAGGTATTCACCCACATTCTTTACTGTCTTATGTGTTTCGCCAAATTTGGGGAATATTTAGCCATTATTCTTTCAAATACTTTTTCAGCCTCACCCTGTCCTACCTCTCTTGCTGGGACTGCAATGATCCAAATGTTATACCATTTGTTATGGTTCTGCCTGTTCTGTGCCTCTGTTCACTTTTTCAATCTATTTTCTCTCTTATTCAGGTAATTTCTATTTCTCTGGTCTCATGTTCACTAATTCATTCCTCTCTCCTGTGTATTTTGTTGTTTGAGAATACTGAGTTTTTCATTTCAGTTACTGTATTTTTTAAAATATTTTTTGTTGTGGTGAAATACACATACCATGAAATTTACAATTATACCCATTTTACGTGTACAATTCAGTGGCATTAGGTATATTCACAATGTTGTGTAACCATTCCATATCCATTTCAGAACTTTTTCACCACCTCAAACAGAAACTCTGTACCCATTAAATAAAACCTCTCTCTGATTTTTCCTATACTAAGTACCTTGTATAAGTGGAATCATACATATTTGTCCTTCTGTGCCTGCCTTATTTTGCTTAGCCATGTTTTGAAGACTTATCCATGTTGTAGCATTGTATCAGAATTTCATTTTTTAAGGTTGAATAATATTCCATTGTATGGACTACTACATTCTGTTTATCCATTTATCTGTTGATGAACATCTGGGTTGTTTCTACCCTTTTGCTATTTTAAATAATGCCGCTGTGAGCATTGGTGTACAAAGATCTGTTGGAGGGCCTGCTTTTAATCTTCTGGGGATATACCTACAAGTGGAATAGCTAGGATCATACTGTAAACTCTATACTTAAATGTCTGAGAACCTGCTAAACTTTTTCAACATAGCTGTACCATTTTTACATTCCCACTAGCAATGTAAAGGGCTCTAGTTTCTCCACATCCTCACCAACATTCATTTTCTGGGATGTTTTTTTGTTTTGTTTTGTTTGTTTTTTTTCGTTTCCTTTCGATCATAGCCATCCTGATAGGTGTGAAGTGAATTTGCATTTCTTTAGTGCTTGGTGATGCTGAGCATCTTTTCATGTGCTTAATGGCCACTTGCATATCTTCTTTGGAGAAATGTCTATTTGTGAATTGCCCATTTATGAATTGGGTATTTTTGTTGTTAGGTTGTAGTAGTTCTCTATATATTCTGGATATTAATCCCTTATCAGATATATAAATTGGAAATATTTTCTCCTATACATTTTTAATAGACTTTATTTTTTTAGAGCAGTTTTAGGTTTATAGAAAAACTGATCAGGAATTAGAGATTTCCTACATACCTTTTGTAACCCTCAACCCCAAACACACACACTCAATTTTCCCTATTATACACATCTTGTAATAGTGTGGTACATTTGTTACAATGCCCTGGCTGGTTTGGCTCAGCAGTTAGAGCGTCGGCCTACGGTACAGAGAGACCTGGGTTTGGTTCCCGCTAAGGGTGTGTACCTGCAGTTTGTCCCCGGCCCTGGTTGGTCGTGCGGGTGGCAGCCGCCCGATGTGTCCCTTTCACGTCCATGTTTCTCTCTCTCTCTCTCCCTCCCTTCCTCCCTCCCACTCTATCTGAACAAAAAATGGAAAAATGTCCTCTCGGGTGAGGATTGAAAAAAAAAGAAAAACCAACACTGATACATTATTAACTAAAGTCCATAGTTTACATTACATTCTTTGGGTTGTAGATTCTATGGGTTCTGACAAATGTATAATGACATGTATTCATCATTATTGTATCATACAGAATAGTTTCACGGCCCTAAGAATCACCTGTGTTCCATTTATCACTTCCACCCTCCAAA